TATGTGCTATCTGAGTAGAGAGAAGAGAATGAGAATTCACTGGCTAAGGGGAACATTCCGTGAGTGGGCAAATAAAAACTCAAATTGAAAAGGGAAGAAAACATGGACTAAGACCCCAATTTTTGTTCCTTACCACACAGCTATCTTTTTTAGGTGACAAGCAAGGAGATGGGGATCAAGTATTTTTATTCAAAAGAGGCTCATTATTAACTAAAGAATTTGTTTAATTATTAGATCAAACTGAGGTTTAAAATAAATATATCACTTTGTCAAGTCAACATTTTTCAGATGCACAATTGAGGAATGTCAACAACACTGATCATGTACAACCATCACCCATATGGTTGCCAAAAATATTGACTGAAAGCATATTAAACCTATTGTATTGGGAAGGGGGGCGAAGACAGACAATGATTTACCGGAATTGACTATGAGTGTTCATTTGTCTTGATTTTTTTTTTCAAACAAGATGTTTTCCTATCGTGGAAATATTTAAAAAAAAACAAAACCCAGCAAGCTCATGGTCATTGAGTTGATTCAACAGGAGCAATAGCCTCGTCTTTGTCAAGTGGAGCAGCAGGCGGGTTTGAGCCACAGACCTTACAGTTAGCAGCCCAACGATTAACCCAGAGTGCCCCAGGGCTTTTTAAAGAGAGTTTCTGCTATTACAAATTAAGGTAAACAATGTAAGGAAATACATAATTCTATGAGGAATTACCTACATTTTCTAAACTGTCATCATTTGGTGAGCCAGTTTTCCACTTCACTGTCAGTTATACCCTGAACTGGAGAGGTCAGTTTATAAACAATCTTATTAAATACTGTATTGTCTTTGCTAATTAAGAAATTCCATTTTTCCTTCAATCACCTAATTAGCTTAAATTTCTAGTAAGCAAGACTAATTTGGGTTTTCTGAAACCAAACTTGGTTGTATATACCCAATAAATTATAGTTAATTTAAGATTATTTGAGAAGGCATTTCCCATGAAAACAAATAAAATTATTTTTTCTATATTTAAATATACAAGATAGTAAATGGAGCCTATATAATCTTATGCTTTGTAAAAGTAAGGAGCCTCACATGGAAATACATGGATCTGAAAGTGAAAAAAAATTTTTTTAATTCAATCTCCACAAAGGATTAAATGTACTTTATGCAACTTGTGCAAAAAACAAAAAATTGCCCATTGGCTTCATTAATAATGTGAAAAGGGGGCTACAAAGAAATCGTAGTTTTAACTATGACTAATAGTTACCTATTTCTTCAACAATTTATATAAAAATTAAAATTTTAATATATTTAAAATTAGCACTAAGTTCTGCCCCTAAAAACCACATGCTTTTAATATGTGGTTACTAAGATAATAAAAGACAAAAAAAAGTCAGACATATAACAGTTATTTTTGTGAAGTCTCAAGCAATATTGGAAAATTTCACCACTCAAATTATAATAAACACACTAAACAATAAAGCTTTCTTGCTGAGCAGTTACCTATTATGTTTAACAGGCTTGAAACAAAATGTGCCAAAGATCAAGAGTAAGTTATCTGAGATGTCAAGTGCAGAAGGTCAAAGGTACAATTTTATTAGGTCAGAGGTGGCATAAATAAAGTGTTACATGTCAAAGAAGAAGGGTCACATACAAAGGATATATAATATAAGGACATCACAGATGACAAGTAATAACTTTAAGTAGAATAAGTATGTTTACTATAGATACCATCATTGATTAAAAATGAAACTTCTAAGTGAGTAAATGTAAAATTGCCTTTCTATATTGCATAACTCATATACTATTTTGCACACTTGTTTTCAGGAAGAAACGGCTATCACCAAGAATAACTACATGTGAGGGTGGGGTGGAAAAGGGGAACTGATTTCAGGGATCTACATATAACCTCCTCCCTGGGGGATGGACAACAGAAAAGTGGGTGAAGGGAGACGTCAGACAGTGTAAGATATGACAAAATAATAATAAT